CAAGGCTAACGTCTTTGTCAAGCTGCCCAAGCTCCAGAAGCTCTACCTAGACCACAACCTCATTGCTGCAGTGGCCCCAGGGGCCTTCCTGGGCATGAAAGCACTGCGCTGGCTGGACCTGTCACATAACCGCGTGGGTGGCCTCCTGGAGGACACCTTCCCGGGCCTGCTGGGCCTGCATGTCCTGCGCCTCTCACACAATGCCATTGCCAGCCTGCGGCCCCGGACCTTCAAGGACCTGCACTTCCTGGAAGAGCTGCGGCTGAGCCACAACCGCCTCCGGCAGCTGCCGGACAAGGCCTTCGAGGGCCTCGGCCAGCTAGAGGTGCTCATGCTCAACGACAACCAGATCCAGGAGGTCAAGGCGGGCGCCTTCCTTGGTCTCTCGAACGTGGCCGTCATGAACCTCTCTGGCAACTGTCTGCGGGATCTTCCAGAGCGAGTGTTCCAGGGCCTGGCCAAGCTGCACAGCCTGCACCTGGAGGGCAGCTGCCTAGGCCGTATCCGCCAGCACACCTTCACTGGCCTCTCGGGGCTGCGCCGGCTCTTCCTCAAGGACAATGGCATCGCAGTCATCGAGGAGCAGAGTCTGGGGGGACTCCCTGAGCTCCTGGAGCTGGACCTCACCTCCAACCAGCTCACGCAGCTGCCTAGCCAGCTGTTCCAGGGCCTCAGCAAGTTGGAATACCTTCTCCTGGCCCGCAACCGGCTGTCAGCACTGTCGGCAGAAGCCCTGGGGCCCCTGCAGCGCACCTTCTGGCTGGATGTCTCACACAACCACCTGGAGGCCTTGCCGGAGGGCTTACTCTTGCCACTGGGGCAGCTGCGCTACCTCAGCCTCAGGAACAATTCATTGCGGACCTTTGTGCCACAGCCTCCTGGCCTGGAGCGCCTGTGGCTGGAGGGCAACCCCTGGCACTGCGGCTGTCCCCTCTGGGCCCTGAGGGCCTTTGCCCTGCAGCACCCTACTGTTGTGCCCCGTTTTGTCCAGGTTGTCACGGAGAGGGATGACTGCCAGCTACCTGTGTACACCTACAACAACATCACATGTGCCAGCCCCCCCAGTGTCTTAGGACTTGACCTGCGTGATGTCGGTGAGGATCACTTTGCTCACTGCTGACCTTAAGCCTGTCCAGGCCAGACACCGTCCTGGGGTCAGAACAGGCCTTTGTCCTCCCCAGAGCCTGGTGGGCACCCTGCCCCTCAGTTCTTAGGGGCCAGGCCCCACACCACTCACTTGTTGGGGTTCTTTTCCTGGGGGACAGAGTCCTGGGGCTTTGCTTACGTGGGCTCAGGACCTGTGGGCCCTAGCTTGGTCCCTGAGGGCCAGATCAGAAGGGTTGAGGACATAGCCCTCCCCAGCTGTCATCCATTAAAAGCAATCTAATAAACACGACCTGTGACCACAGGGATAAAACTCTGGGGTAGGGAAAAGCACCTGCAGACTCCCTCCCAATGCCAGCTCAGCCCACACCCCCTCTGGCTGCCTCAGTCCCACACACCCTACTACTACCCTCCCTGTGCTAAAACTTTCTCTTCATGTCTTCCCACCCTGGGTGCTTCCAGGACACCCACTTCTACTTGAGGGGTGGAACGCACTTACTCAGGTCCTCCTGGGACAGCATTCTTGGAGGTGGGAAGCTGGAGCACAGTAGCAGCAGCCACCGATCCAAGAAGCCCAGCAGCTGTGTCAACTGGGGCCAGCATGGGTGCTGATCTTCTCCAGGCCCCTGTGATCCTGGCCAAACCCCTCAATGGCACTTCCTTTTCCCCCTGCCTTCTTCTTTCAGTACAGCCCCTCCCCCATATTCCCTACCCCCCCAGGAAATACCCATCCATCCTGCTCCCAGGAAGTGGTACCTGAGGTTGCCTTCCTGGACGCCCCTGCCACTCCTGTCCCAGGTCTTCCCCAGCTCTTCTGCTGAGAGCCTAACTAACCTCTTCTCTTGAAAAAAGTAGCACCCCCATCACAATTCTGCTTTCCAGAACGGTCTTCCTCCTGCCTTCCTGGGAAAGGTTCAGGAAGAGTCCTGGGACTGACTGTTTCCCACTTGCCTCTCGCGCTCTCAGCTCTGCCCCAGACCCTGGTGTGGAGGGTGGAGTGGGCGGTCAGCACTAGCAGCCACAGGCCCCCATGCACATTTCTCCAGTATCTCAAATCCCTCTACAAATCCCCACCAAACTTCATTCAAACACATCCTTGCCCAGGTCTTCAAGGGTCTGTGGACAATAGGCCTGCTGGCCCAGGCCCTGGGACTTAGGGATGGATGCTGTCTGCTACAGGACATAAACCACACTCTGAGGCAGAGGCAGGACCAGGATGGAATGATCTAGAAATCTCAGACTTGTAATCGCGGTAGCAAGACATGTTTAACCACAGGCTCCTCTGCAGTTACAGATTTAATACCTTACAGGGTGCTCTCCTCTGTCACCACAATCAATTATAGCCCTGTAGGCTGCCGGGCACCTGAGGGTGAAAAAGTCCCCAGGCAGCCTCCAGATCCACAAGCTTTGTAGACAATGTGAAACTCAAGTGTCAGGAGGGGCCTGTCTGTCTCTGGGGCACGTGAATACCATGACATGAAAAGGGGATGTGCCAGCACCAGAGATTAGGCCATGCACCAGGATCCTACACTGTCCCCGGGGGCCTGCCACAGGCCAACCCAGCAGAACCATTCATTGTTAGCGCCTCTGGTGACAAAATGCTGCTGAGACACTGAATTATCTCCAAGGGCCCGGGCAGGGAGATGTGCGCACAGTGACAGCCCCACAGCCAGCCTTCAGGTTCCAGGAACTGCACACAGGACCTCTGCTCGAGTCTGGGAGCAAGAGCCTCACAGTGGCGCCAAGAGAAGATGTTTGAGGCTGCTTCAATCAGGAGAGCTGAGCAGGCGTCTCATTCAGAATCTTCTGGGCTATGGCAGAGAGTACAGGAAACGCAGGGCTCTGGGGGAACTCTTGGATGAAGTCTCGGCCTTCCTCCAGGCTCCTCGTGAGCTCAGGATCCAGGGGCACAGAGCCTGCAAAGACAGAAGGAAAGGCGAGGCAGTGAGAGTGAGGGCTAGGCGGCCATGTCCACGTACCTCCCACCGCCCAGGAGCTGCTGTCAGTGCTGCTTTAGCTCAGGGCGAACACCGTCAGCAGCACTCTGGCTGAGGTGCCTGGAAGGGCTCTCAGCCTCAACTTCTACCTCAACAGCCAGTAGCCTACCCAGGAGGCCCAGGCCGGCTGCTGCAAAGAGCAGGGCGAGAAGCACTGGGCACATGTGGCCATGCAGAACCGGTGTACCCCGACTCCCACCCCATAGAGGTGCTCCCAGAGCCAGAGCCGCAGTCACTGGGGTCTCAGGTGTCAGCTATGGGCTCCTCCTCAAAGCCTGGGTGGTGCCGCCTTTCCCTCAGACCATTTCTTTTCGGTTGGTCAGCAGTGACTAGCATAGAGATAAACTGATGCCCGCAGACAAAGGAAGACAAGTGAACACGGCTGCTGCCATCTTCCCCCACCTTAGGGGCAATGGGCAAAGGTAGGCTGGACTACCTGGAGCAGAGGCTGAGGGGAGCCCTGACCCACTCACCTAGGAAGGGGACTCCAGCGTGTCTGGCCAGCTCCTCGCCACCTCCCCTGGAGAAGATGTTGGTACACTCCTAGGACAGAGGTGCAGGGTCCGCCTGAGGACTCTCTCCACACTCAAGGGGTGGGAGCCAAAACCAGGGAGCAGGTGGGTGGGGTGCAGCAACATCCTTACCCTCCCAGGCTTCCTCCTCCCCGACCCAAAGGCTGGTGGTGGTGGCCCCACAACTTCCCACGACTCACAGTGCAGTGTGGACAGACAAAGCCACTCATGTTCTCCACGACACCGATCACCCGCAACCCTGTCTTCCTACAGAAGGTCAGCTCCCGCCTCACGTCCCCCACGGACACTGCCTGCAGACCAGGGAAGAGGTGGGGCAGGCCAATGGGCACCCCGAACATTCGACCAAGATGAACACAGAGTAGGGAA